TTTATATATATAATTTCTCTCTCTCTCTCTCTCTCTCTCTCTCTCTCTCTTCCGTTCCGTCTCTATCTCTCACCCACTCTCTCCCTTACTCTCTCTTTTTCTCCTTCTCTTGCTGTCTCGCTCTCCCCTTCTTCCTCTACCCTTAGCCGACTCCATCTCCACCCTCACCATAGCCTACAACCAACTCCACCATCCACAAAATCATCGATCACTTTCATCACTATCACCATCCATCCAAATCCCTCACTAATCTTCCAAACTCCATCACTTCTCCATGATGACCATACATATTCAATCTAATGATTATGAATGGCAAAGTCTGCCAATGAATGGTCCAAAAATTCCTACCAAAACTATAGATGGACTTAGGGTACCAAAACCTGAAGATGAGTGGGATGAATCAGATACTAGAATGGCCCAAATTAATGTCAAAGCTACAAACATGTTGTACTGTGCTTTAGATGCCAACGAGTTCAATAGAATTTCCACATGTAAAACCGCTAAAGAAATTTGGGACAAGCTTATAGTGACTCATGAGGGAACCGAACAAGTTAAAGAATCTAGAGTCAGTTTGCTAGTCCATAATTATGAACTTTTTAAAATGAAGCCTGATGAAACTATTCCTCAAATGTTTACTCGTTTTACTGATATTATTAATGGTTTAACTTCTCTTGGCAAAATATATTTACTTAGATGGACTTAGGGTACCAAAACCTCAAATGTTTACTTATTTAGGCCAAATTTGGCATGTCAAGGAAAAGTCAAAAAGTCAAAAAATTACTCAAAAAGTTAAAAAGTTAACACTATTCACCAAAAGTCAACAATTAGGGATGCACAACTCCCAATCCTAATTTTTTCATACAAACCAATTTTTATGATTTTTTATTACACATTTTTTCATAAAAAGTCAAAAAGTTAACCCAAACATCTATATTTTCTTTCTTAATTTTTTAGTTTAAAAAGACAAAAAATACACTTATTTAGGACACCACAAACAACCCCTTAAACTATTTTATTTTTTTATACTTTTTTAGTTCTAACCCACTTTCAACCATGTTGCCAAAATGACAACTTAGGATTGGTTTGGGGTGTCCTAAAAAAGTACATTTTTTGTCTTTTTATGAAAAGATGTGCAGAAAAGTAGAGAGGTGATGTGATGAAAAAAAATAAAAAGATAAAAAAATGGATTATATAGTCTATGCCAAATCAGCCCTTAATAAGTAAAATTGACACATTGTGAAATTTTTTTTGGTACTCATATTAATAATTTGAACAGTTTATTTCATATTACAAACAAATTAAAAAGAACATACACACAGACCTTTTATATTTGATTATTTTTTCATTTTGACTTTTGATTTTTTTTTCTCATTTTAGACCTTCATATATATTTTTTTAATTTATTTATAAAACTAATTTCTATTCAAAATTAGATAGAAAATGTTATATTAACTGTCACATGACATAAAAATATATTATTATATTCAAATTTCAATTTGTGTCAAAGGTATAAATTATATATAATAAATATTTTTATATAACATAATTATTAATATATCATTTTCTATATAATTTTAGACATAAATTAAAATGGGTATTACTTTACGAAAAATGATGCAGACCACTAATTAGTGGTTGCACTAGGGATGTGGCAGTGGGTCTCACCCACTGCCACATGTGTTTTGTGTTTTGTGTCTTAATTTTTGTTTTTTTTTAAATTTTTTTTACTTGTCTATATAACGTAATTATTAATATATCATTTTCTATATAATTTTAGACATAAATTAAAATGGGTATTACTTTACTAACAGAAAGAAAAAAAAAAAAATACAAACATTGAGGGTGAGGGGTGCAACTCATAAGGTTTAAGTTGCACCCAGAACAACTTACACCCTTCGTATTTTGACAAATTTCCCCCCCTAAATTAAATCCAATTAGATTTATAAAAAATTAATTTTACCATAAAAATTTCCCCCCCCCCTAAATTAAATCCAATTAGATTTGTAAAAAATTAATTTTACCATAAAAATTGAAAATTTTAATTTAACAAACTGGGTGGGACCATCAAATGAGAGGTTTATAAGAGCATTTCTATCAATTAGTTATTTGTATTTTTTAGTTAAAATAGTGAATAAATCACTAAGGTCAAGTTTGGCAATTGCAAAATAATCCATATTTTTATCTTTTTTTCATCACATCATCTCTCTACTTTTCTGCACATCTTTTCATAAAAAGATAAAAAGTGCACTTATTTAGGTCATCCCAAACAACGCCTAAATTTCACCTCTTTCAAACTAATTATCAAGTTAGTCATTTTAGTTTTGATAGTTTTAACTCAACAAATAATCTAGTCAAATATTAAAAAGGTATTACTATTTATATTTTGGAATTAATTGTGTTGAGTTTAAAAAAAATAATTTTAAATTAAAATGAATAAAATAATATTTAAATAGTATAAAGAATTAATATAGAGTTTGTTAAAAAATATATTTAAAAAGATATAAAATTTAAATAAAAAAATTAATTTTTAAATTAAAATATAATAAAATTTTAACAAGTTTAGTTGGAGAATTCTATTATGCCCATACCTTTAGTTATATAATTTTATTCTCAAATTATAACTATTTTTTTATTTAATTATCACATTATTTTGAAAAGGAAAATATTTGGTGGCTCAAATTTATATGGTTCGAATGTATCAAAACAACGTCGTTTTGAGTGTTTCGAACCATTCGAGTCATGTTTTTTCAGGCCACCTAACATTGTTGATTTTAAAATTTTAATTATAATTTTTTTAATTATAACTAAAAAAATATAAAATTATATCATTTTCTTTTTAAAGTACCAAACTTATTATAAATTAAAAATTGATAATCAGAGAGTAGAAATTAAAAATACCCATTCTCTAACTTCTAAGTAATTAACTTTTCTCAATATATTTAAATTATTTTTACTTAAAATATTATAAACAAAAAAGAAAATATTTGGTAACTTAAAATTTTGTGGCTAAAATGGCTCAAGTCTGTCAAAATGGCGCCGTTTTACACTCATTTACACTAAAAACGATGTCATTTTGAGTAATTTAAGCCATTTAAATCACAAAATTTTGAACTACCTAACATTATTGAAACAAAAATTACACCAAATAATTTGATACAAATTTTTAAATTAAATTATAATTTCACGCTTGATACGCTAAATGGCCGTACGCGTCGTTTTTAAGCACTCAAAAACCCTACTTCCCTAGAAACAACTCACGCACAAGATCAAAGGCCTACTCCAAGCCCTACTACAGCAGCTTCATCTCTCTCTCTCTCTCTCTCCATGGAAGGGTCTGCTGAAGAAACATCAAAGGAAGTGTCAGCTCTATCATTGGAGCCTGAAGTTCGTAGCAAAAAGTGAGCTCTTCCAACATACAATCTGTTTTTCTAATCTCTACAACTGAATTTTGGTTTTGAATTTTTTTTTTTTTGATTGTGTGGGTTTCCAATAGTGCTCTCAAGAAAGAATTGAAGAATAAGCAGAGAGACGAGGAACGAAAGGCCAAGCAGGTACAGTACATTTACATTCCCTCTGCTTTTCTATTTTTATTTTTCATTTTTTCCTTTTCAAGAGGCTCAGTTTGGTTTCCAGGAAAATGAAGGGAAAAAAGACAGGGAAACATCTTTGTTAAAATCTGAAATTGAGGCTTGAGCGAGCCATTCCTTTTATAATACACTTGGATTTCTGAATTTTTTTTGTCTAGTTCTCCATTCATTTTGACAGTGGTTACATTTTCTTCAGGCTGCTACCATGTCAAGGCCCCATGTTCAGAAGCCCCAAGCTGCAGATGACGAGGACATGGATCCAACGGTAAATCTTTCTTGTTAGTTGCTTGTATATTGTTTCCAAAATACTTTTTTTGCATTGATTTTTCTGCATCCTATTGAATATAATATATGCCTTTAGTTTTTCTTGAACTCTATTTATTGTTTTGCCTGCAGCAATACTTTGAAAATAGGTTGAAAGCCCTTGCAGCTCAGAAGAGTGCAGGAATTAATCCCTATCCTCACAAATTCCATGTTTCATTGTCGATCCTTGAGTATATAGAGAAGTATAAAGGCTTAAGTAATGGGGAGCATCTGGAGGATGTTGAAATAAATTTGGCTGGTATTTAAATATAGGAATTTGACCACATGTAGGGTATTATCCATTTTCGTCATGTTTCTTTCTATTAATGCCTATTATGTTTCTCTTTTGCAAGGGCGAATCATGAACAAACGATCTTCTTCTTCGAAGTTGTTCTTTTATGATCTACATGGTGATGGTGCCAAAGTCCAAGTTATGGCTGATGCAAGGTATTTAATCCTTATTATTTATCCTGATTGGACTATTGCCCATGTGACTGCCAGATTCTTTTTGGGATGCAAGATCACTTTTCTTGAACAAGTTTTGTTTTGTATGAGGGCTATTTCTCATAGTTGGACCTTTTTTGTTAGAAGTACGAAAATTATGTTATAACTTATAAGCAATCTAATTTTGTCTACTTATAGGACACCATAGTTTTGATTTATGTCCACTCCTAGAATCCTTGGTTATAATTTTTGAGCATCACTCCTCATTTTATGAGTTATCACGTATTTGTTTTTTTATTGATGAAAACTATTTTATTTTATTTTTTTGATGTGACATTTTTTTTAATGATTGGATGGATATGATCTATAAAGGACGGACATGAACATGCGACACGACACGACACGACACGGACGCACTGACACGTCAATTTTTTAAAAAAAATGTACAACACGACACGTGGAGGACATACGCGAAATATATAATTTTATATATTTATTATATGCCATATATATGAATATATCATTCAAAGATGATAAAAAAAAAATGTAATATAGCATTTATTATATAAACTTACATTGTTTTTTCATATATTATTGTATCATAAGTTTTTTAGTTCAAACTTATAATTAGTTTTATATGTGTCGAATTGATGGATACGTGTGTGTTTAAGTAATGGACACTAGTGTCCGGATTTAAAAAAGCTTTTTTAAAAGTAGGACATGTTTTGACAAGTGTTTTAAAACATTTTTAGAGTGAATAAGTTGCATTCTAAAGAATATAGAATATTATTACTATGAAGAGATTCATCACATAGGTTGTGTTTGGAGAGTTCAAGAAGTATCATTGAAATGACTGAGAAGTCTGTAAAGTGCCCTATGTTATGAATTTACATTTGTAATGAAGACACGTTGAAGAAGTGTTGGACATTTTTTTAAGAGTGTTTGTAGAGTGTTGTATCCGACACGACAAGCCTCCTCTATAAAAGTGTCCATACTGCTTTTGGACAATGTGTTTGATGGGATTGTGACTGCTTTCTTCACTTTGTACTGCCCCTTCTGGTCCACATCACTCTTCTCTCCAAGCACTCCACCATGGTGTGTAGCAGTCCTATTGTTTATAGAAAGATCCTTGTGTAAGCATGATTAAAGAAGGGGAAGTGACCCTAACCTATTCCTAAAAATAGCATCTGGTGTCAACACCTCCGGCATTGCCTTAATAGAATCATTACTCTTTCCTAAATTGATCTCCCATTTGAACACGTCTTTGAATTTGGGAAGAGCAACCTTAAGTACTTCATTTGAGCTTGAGTTGACCTCAAACTTTGTTTGATCTAATTCAAGTACTAAAATTTAGAAATTGTTTATCCAGCTCGGCTTTACCTGTTTAAACGAGCAGTTGAGGTTGGCTTGAAGTGGAAGGTTGTTTTGATGCTATAACCTCATTGTTGAAGGTGGCTGTCAAATTGCTATGTGGGGCTGTATAATAGACCTATTAGCTCAAGATTGTCTCGACTTGACTTAGTCAAGAAGGATTTTTTCAAAGCTTTTTTGTTTAGGCAATTGAGTTGAGCTCTAAGTAGCATAGATAGGGACACACTGACATGATGGTTTTCAAAAAGTGCAGTACACAGTATGTTTGGAACACGTTAAAAATTTATATTTTTGTAAATTTATTACTAGGGAAATTTCGTGTCAGTGGGAAACGGGGAAAATGTTTACAAATGCTTGGGAATCTTTTTGGGTGCACACTAAAAACTTGTGTCCTCCCCTATTTGTAAATTTTTTTGGACTTCTACACTAAAGTGTTATTTTCACTTTATTGTATGTCAAACATATCAATAGTTTATTAAAAAGTAATGAAAAATGCAACATAACACTAATTAAAATTGAAGAGCCATATATTCCATTAACGTAAATATTAAAATATCATTCATTTAACAATTGCATTATTAAGAATGCAAAATAATCATAGAATATTAAAATACACATGATGTATTGATTTTATAAATATTTCGAAACATAATTGGAGTGTAGAAGTTGCATTCCGAAGATTGTAGAACATTGTTACTTCGGAGAGATTCATCACATAGATCATGTTTGGAGGGTTCAAGAAGTATTAAGTGTCCGTGAAGTATATGTGAAGTGTCTGTTATAATAATATTATATTTTTAATTTACGCACGTTGAAGAAGTGCCTAACGCACTTTTATGAACATCAGTGTTCAACATGGTGCACCTTTTTCATAGAAGTGTTTGTGCTTCTTAGGCTGAGCTAATAATATTGTTTCAAGCTTGTCACTTATATGACTCATGCTTGAACACAAACAATCAATGATAAACATTCACGAATCACCTCCAAAGACCTTAGAAGATGTATATAAAAAGAATGAAAATGATGTGCTCGATGAGCATTGGATCAATTGATTGTTGTGTTAATCAATTTGGGTAGGTTCTTTGTCACCGCCTTTGTTGGTTGGAGTGAATGCTTCAACTCTTCCTCTTGTTCTCATATATGCGTCTAGGACTCTGTTCTCCATAACAACATTTATGGTTTTATTTGAAATATGACTTTAGACTACATAAAGATGTATAGAACGGCTCATTTTATAAAAAGTGGAAGGTTGGTTTTGCGAGAAGTCAATTTGAAAAGCTACCCAAGGTAGTTTCAGAAAGCTGGGCTAAAGATACAAATTTCTTAATGTCTATTAGTTTACCTAGCAGCAGTTGGTATTAATTTCTTTCTTGGCGTTGCTTAAAGTAGCAATAAGGAAATAAAGAGAGAAGAAATGTGCTCACTTCAGAAGTTCTTGGAGATTTTCCGAGCTGATTCCACAAAGAAAAGAAAGTCTAGAAAAAACTGCGAAAGCCTAATTATACAATTACAACATAAATTCATGGACAAAAAATAATTACACTTCTATTATTCACATATAAAGTAGGCCTTTGATGTTTTTGCTATCTAGATTTATGAGATCATAGTTGTCTCCGTCTTTCATGGCAAACAAAATTGATTTTGCAAGTTACAACCAAGTTAAACCTAACTAAGCTAAGCTCTGCGTCCTACTCAAGTTGGGTTGGCTACTTGAATCCTTTTTCGTCATTTTGCTCTATCAAGGGCTATATCCTTAGACCAAAAATTAAATATGTTTATATATTTTTACTACTGCATCCCATGTTAATTTTGGTCTTCTCTTTCATTTATGGTGATCATATCGCTCTTTCTTACCATTGCTTCTATAGGTCTTCGTTGTACATGACCAAACTATTTTAGCCTATTCTCTCTCAACCTATTCTCTCTCAACTTAATTTCAATTGGTGCTACTAACAATTTCATCAATATATTCATTTATAATTCTATTGTCTTTTAGTCTCACCACAAATCCATCTGAGCATTTTCATCTTAGTTATACACATTTTATGAATGTTTGTTTATTGATTGCTGAATATTCTTCCCCGTAAAGCATCATTTGCCTTCCAGATTTTTTATAAAATTTTATTTTCAATTTTGTTGGTATTTGTCAATCACATAATATGCCAGACGTTCTCTTCAACTTGAGCCAATCTACTTTGATTATGTGGATCACATCATCTCCAACCTCACCACCCTTATTAACATTTGAACCTAAGAAACAAAAATGTGCACTATTTGTTACCTATTGGTTTTCTATTTTCACTTCTCCATTATTCTACTTTATTGTCACTAAAATTATATTCCGTATATTTTGTTTTATTTCTACTACCAAAATGAAGAAATTTTGAATTTGTGTTTGCAATTGCAGGACATCAGTGTTGGATGAAGCTGAATTTTCCAAGTTCCACTCTGGCGTGAAGCGTGGAGATATTGTTGGTGTTGTTGGGTATCCAGGTTTAGAATACTTCACATGTTACTAATTGACAGCTTGCGTTGATATTTGATTATCTTGCATTGAATATTGGAAAGAGAAAGCACTGGATGCAATTAATAATTATATCTATTGAAGTTCACGTAAACCTTTTTGCCTCCATATCTGGACAGCAAAATGTTCATCAGATTGTGGCTCCTTGCCTAAGTATTTTTAAGTTGGTTTAACAGAGAGTGATAGTGTATGGATTTAATTGTCCATCAACTTTGATGTAAGACTAAATTGACGTTTATTTTCTTTATTTTCTTTACTAGTAAAAACTTACGTATAAAAACTGTTCAACATCTTGATTAAACATTCCAGTTTGGGTGTAAAGAGGTGTCAATTTCTTTGATAGGCCATATCCTTTTGTGCCACATGGAAGTAGCTATTATAAACAAGTTAAACTCACCAGGACCAATTTCTTGACAAGGATGGGTGGGATCCTAATTGACCTTGATTTTGTTCTTTTTTTAACCAGCAAATTGACATTTAGTCTTGGCCCTTTGAAAAGAGTTGAGCTGTGAGGTCATGAGCAGGGGTGGAACAAGAAAATTTATGTTCTCTGAAGTCTTTTTGAGTTGATTTGTGTATTAAGAACTTTTGAAACTACAACATGATTAGATATATTGGCATAAAGCACAAAATATTAAGAAAGAGATATTATTGTAAAGTTAAACGTACTTTGAATTGCTCTCTTTGTTTTTAAATTTTAGATTAGTATAAATTTAATATATTTTGATGTTTAAATTGATCTAATTGTAAAATTATAGACAACTATAAGGGATTAATAAAATTACTTTCTACGATTTAATTGATGTTTATATATATATATATTTTAAAATTTAAATTTTTCTGAAAAACGTTTGTTGTTGATAAAAAATGTAAAATATAGAATTTGAGAAATTCATGTAGTTGATCAAACTTGGAAAATAAAGAATTTAAGTTGAAAGGTGAGATGTTGTATTTTTGTTTATGGAAATTGAAATTGAGTGGGGGTCATGATGACATAGAAAAACCAGAGCTTGGGCCAAAAAATACATAAAGAGTAACATTTTCTTTCTATGCCAAACCAGTGCTGGAGCACACTAATTTGAGTCAATATCTAAGCCTACTGGTTTAGAATGAGGTAGCATTGCTTATTTGCATAGATACATTGTTATCAAATCGTGAATCGTTTTGCTAAAATAGTGAATTTTGAATTGTAAGATTCACTTTATTTATTATATTATAATTTTATATATGTTTATAAATACCAAAGTACACAGAGTGTTTAAAATGAAATAAATATCAATAGAACTAATTTGTATATCACATTGAACAATGTATATCAGTTAATTAATGTATATCAATATAATTAATTGATCTCCTTTTATTTCTTGATGGAGAGGTGAAAACGATGGTTCATGCATTATGTAAACAAAAACATAACTGAATCATAGTGAATTCCAAATTGAATCACACGATTTACTCAATTTCCGATTACCGACACGATTCTAATCGTTTGTTTGAAACTCGTATCGAATCTTGTATGAACCAAATCGTGAATCATACGAATCTAACAACCATGCTTGCATATGTTACCTATATGCAGGCTTGGACATGTTATGCTCAGTTATAAATTTATTTTGTTTTGAATAGGTAAGTTAAGGATACCTCACATATGAATATCTTTATTGGAGGAATGCAATCTAAGTTGCTGGGGTGTTCCCTAGGGGGCATTTTTTAGAAGTTATAATTATAGGATTTGTTGTCCTTCATACGAGATTCACACTGAATTTGATTTGTTGGAAAACTCTATCTCTTAGGTGGAAGTATTTATTTTATTATTTTAAATTAAAATCTAGAAATGTGGTGATTAGTTGTTGCGTCTGTGCAACTAAATACTCAAAAACATTGAATAATAGGAGATATTATCAGTTTAGATTCATTTGATGAAACTGTGTAGTATGCCTCCTGACATTTCTCGAAATAGATAGACCACCTAGTGGTGATGCTGCTTGTGACTATTAGAGCAGTACTATCAGATTAAAAAATCTTCATCTAGAAGATAATTACTTGAATTATCATTTGTGTAGGAGAAAATAATCTGGGTAAATTTACAGAAGCATTGAACATGTTATCTTTAGTTTCTCTTTTCTTTGGGCAATTCAGAATTGTTGATCCCTGGATTGTAGTATATCCACTGGTAATATTATTCAATTTGTGCTTTTTATTTAATTTTTTAATTGAATTGATTATAGGAGATTAACTAGTCGTAGTTTTACAAAAACTTCCTGAATATATATTCTCATTTTCACATTTCTTTGGGGGATTTAAAGTGTTAATGTCAGCATTATACTATATTAGGTATTAGGTCATTCTCCTGCATCAATGGTGCAGCTTGGGGATGCTTGGTACTTGTAAAGGTCCCCCTCTCCCCCTCTCCCTATCCCTCTTTCTGTCTGGAAATTACAATTTTGTTATGATAAATACTTCAAATGCACAATTGAGTTTTTTACAAATCAAGTTTGCAACTGGAATACGTAGCAAGTTATGATTAAGGCAAGGGTATTTTAATTGTAGTAATATTAGAAATTATAGATGACTGATGTAAACACTTAAAGAATCCACTGGCAGGCAGTTCACTTCTGTCCCTTGCATGTCTTGCTCTGAGATCTGCTCCCTAGAACTTTTTTTAGCTGGTCTATTTCATTACATCTAAATACATCTTGTCATGACCCGAACCTGCCTTTAGTAGTCATGAGATTACCTACGGCCTCAGGCAGAAATCAAATCATATTTACTTATATGGGGCTATAAGCGGAAGTAAAAATATAAAATTTGTCCAATGAGCTTGTGCATAAATGACATGAACAAAAACTTCTTATATATTAATAACTCACACCATAAATACATGAAAGGATCTTACATGTCCAAGATCATACATATATCATTGACATACAAATCAAAAGTTATATAAATACATGGTCTAACATGACCAACAAAAGAAAACAAAATCAAAAGACAAAAGCCTCGTGCGTTAGGCATCCTTGGTTGACACCACAAAAATTCAGTAGTCCTCCACAGTTTCACTAGGGCTAAATATCTCGCTGCTCACCTACATACATATATATAACGGAGTGAGCGAAAGCCCTGCGAATAACATCAGAGTAAGGAGGTTATATGAATGAGTTCTAATAATAAATAAATCAATCTCATAACAGTTTCATATCACACGGAACGACCTCGGGTCCAATATATGATAGAACGACCTTAGGTCGAACATAACAGAGATATAGAGCAGAACATATCATACTTGTCGGAACGACCTCGGGCATTACGACCTCGGGTCAAATCAATTACAGCTGTATAATGACCATTAGGTCAACACATAACAGATGTCCAGACTTATTAGATGTGCAGAGAATTAGATAATCGGAACGATCTTAGGTCCATTTCATTACATATACAGAACGACCTTAGGTCCATTTCTACTGTACAGAGTGACCTTAGGTCTATCATATGCCTTTGTGCTTGTCAATCATATTCACAGATCTTTTATGAATCAGACAGATAGAAGGTTCATTCATAACACAAAATCATAAGTTCAGAAAATTTACCACACTGGTATCATTTAGAAAATAAGATACATAAAAATATCTTTACTAAGATAATTCTCACAATGATTTGGTTGTTGATATGTTCTCGTGGATGGTCCTACACAATTCATAAACACATACACAAATTGGATCACAATGCTTGTCCAATTCGTTTATTAACTAGTTCAATTCTTTTAGGCTTTTTTCTAACTCAATTCATGCCTAAGAATGCTCAGAAAGGAATGAGAACGGAATTATGAACAAAATATGACTTTTTAAAATATGCTAAAATAGGGTACTTCATTCGAGTGCAACATTGGTCGCTCGAGCAGATCACTTGGTCCTACAAAAGTCCTGGAGGGTTCGAATCTAGGCTCGATAGTCACTCGAGCCAAGGTGCAAAATAAAAGCGGTCGCTTGAGCAGTAACTTGGTCGCTCGAGCCAACTGCAAATGCTTTCAAAACTACTGGATGCATGAGATGTGCGCTAGAGCGACAAACTTGTTCGCTCGAGTGATGTGGTCGAATTTTGGGTTTTCTAGAATACAGTTTGAATTTCAAAACATGTATTCAAAGTGTGTAAGCTTGCATGACATGCTCTTGTCTTCAAATATTCAACCATAAGCATAGGTACAAAACTAATTTACAAGTTCAAAGCCCAAAACTTCATGAACTCACCATGCATGACCCAATTAGCATCAAATTCTTTTCCAAAACTCAAAACATGGAATTTAACTTCAAAACATTAATCATGGATGCATGGATGGTATAACTTCAATTCAAATGACATGAACCAAACCAAACCAAACCAAACCAAACCAAACCAAGCCTTAAGTCCCATCAAATGGGGTCGGTTAGATGAATCCTTCTTCTCCACGCGGCCCTATCAAAGGCCATTTCGTTAGTCAAATTAAGTAGATCCATATCTCTATTTACAATGTTAGCCAACGTTAATCTAGGCCTACCTCGTCCCCTAACACTCCCCTCTTCCGTTACAGCATCGCATCTCTTCACTACTGTCTCTGTTGGTCTCCGTTGAATGTGACCAAACCATTTCAATCGATTCTCGCTCAACTTATCTTCTATCGGTGCTACTCTTACCCATTCCCGAATACACTCATTCCTAATTCTGTCTTGTCTAGTCTTGCCACATATCCACCTTAGCATCCTCATCTCAGCCACACTCATCTTATCTACATGTTGTTTCTTGGTTGCTCAACACTCCGTCCCATACAACATCGTTGGTCTAATAGCCATTCTATAGAACTTACCTTTTAGTCTAGTGGGTATTCGTTTATCGCACAGTATCCTAGACGCACTTCTCCACTTATACCATCCCGCCTTAATCCTATGGGCCACATCTGCATCAATCTCCCCCGCTGTTGTGATAATCGACTATAAATAACGAAAATGTTCACTCTTAGGCTATTCTTGGTTTTCAATCTTCACTTATCCTCTGCTTTCATTGTTACTGTTACTAAACTTACACTCCATGTACTCTGTCTTATTTCTGCTTATTCGGCAACCTTTGGATTTAAGAGTTTTTCTCCAAATTTCTAACTTTGTATTAACTCATTCTCTAGTCTCATCCACTAGCACGATATCGTCTGCAAAAAGCATACACCATGGCACGTCCTCCTGAATATTTCTCGTCAACTTATCCATAACTAAAGCAAAAAGATAAGGGTTTAAGGTAGATCCTTGGTGTAATCCAATAGTGATAGGAAATTCATTTGTCTCTCCAGCAGGCGATCTAATAGTGGTCACTACCCCTTCATACATGTCCCTAATCACATCAATGTAACTTTTTGTCATCCATTTCTTCTCTAACACCCACTATATTATATCTCGGGGCACTCTATTATATGCTTTCTCAAGGTCGATAAACACTATATGAATGTCTCTTTTCTTTTCTCTATACTTTTCTATTACTCTCCTCAAAAGATAAATCGCTTCCATTGTTGACCTGCCGGGCATAAATCCAAATTAATTCTCTGACACCTTTGTTATATCTCGCAATCGATGTTCCATCACCCTCTCCCACACTTTCGTTATATAGCACATTAGCTTGATTCCTCTATAGTTGTTTCAATTCTGGACATCTGCTTTATTCTTATATATTGGTACTAAAATACTCTTCCTCCACTCATCTGGCATGTTCCTAGTCAATAAAATTTTGCTAAACAACCTAGTTAACCAAGCAATCCCCCTTTTACCCAAGCACTTTCAAGCTTCAATAGGGATATCATCGGGTTCTAAAGCCTTATTTGATTTCATCTTCTTAAGTGCAATCTCCATTTCAAAGTTCCTAATCATGCGATAAAACCTATAGTCTTGGTTTATCGTATTACTAGCCATTTCTTCCCCTATTGCCGTACCTCCATGTTCCTCATTTAATAATTTCTCAAAATAGTTCTTCCATCTTTTCTTAATCTCTTCATCCTTCACCAATACCTTAGAATCCTCACTCTCGATGCACTTAACTTGATTAAAATCTCTTGTTTTCCTCTCCCGTATCTTAGCAAGTTTGTATACCCTCTTCTCTCCTTCTTTACTATCTAATCTAGTGTATATGTTATCATAAGCTTTCAACTTAGCCTCTCTCACTACTTTTTTGACCTCCTTATTAGCCAATCTATAGCTCTTTAGGTTTTCCTCAGTTCTATTCTTCTGCCACTTTTTAAAGCACTCTTTCTTTGCCTTAATTACCGCTTGAACCTCTTTCCTCCACCACCAAGTTTTTCTAGCGCTGGGTCCCGTCCCTTTTGACTCTCCAAGCACTTCCCTTGAGATTCTCCTCATACAATTGGCTATCGAGTTCCACATAGTGTTAGTATCATCTTCCAAGTCCCAAGTACTTTCTTTATCCATTCTATTCTTAAATATTTTTAGTTTATCCCCTTTTAGGTCCCACCATCTCGTCCTACGACGCTCACCATCCTTCCTAGCTTGGTATTGCCCTCTAAAACATAAATCTAGTACCAAAATCTTATGTTGAGAGACTAGACTCTCTCCAGGAATCACCTTACAATCATTGCATTTTAGGCAGTTCACTTTTCTCACTAAGAAGTAATTTATTTGACTCTTAACTGACCCACTCTTAAAGGTTATCAAATGCTCCTCCCTCTTCTTATACATAGTATTGGCCACCACCAG